CTGGTTCTATGCCAGGCACAGCATAGAGGTCCTCTTACGTCTTACTAGTAGCGCTTGTCCATTTTAAGAATTTAAAGTAGATTTAAACACAAGAACACAAATGTCATATATTGCATGTGGGGGGGCTGCATTTGTTTTATTTCCTTTATTTTCACCTGGTGATCCATCCTACCAGTAACATACTTCTTGTCCTAGGGTGACAACTTACTCACTGTACTGCAGAGGTGGACAATTTAATATGAAATTTAGGAGCCAGTCTGTCCAATCCAGCTTCATTGAAAGCAACTAGAGGAAACCTCAAAAGTTAGGCACCAGCTGTAAATATTAAAGAACAATGGCTACCTGGCTGGGGAGGGTGTATATTCTGTAGGCCACAGAGAAAGCTGGAAACAATGGTAACTGATAACCTTTGGCACAGGCAGAGTGAGCAATACTTTATCAGCTAATAAGATCACTGGAAAGATCAACACGTATTTTTTGCACCTATCAAACAGATATAACAAAATGCTTTAAATTATATATTTAACACACCAAAAGACAGCAATACGAAAAGTTAATTGTTAGGTTTTGCCCAACTCTAACCTATTAGAGGTATAAGTATAAGGGAGACACCTCAGAAAAAAACAGCAAAACTGGGCACATGGGTACAAGCCATCAATGTTAACGTCTGGGCTCGACATGGTGGATTGTGCATTTATATTTATTTAAGCCTAGGTAAGGTTTTTCCCATCAAACGGTAAGTTTTACTTTACTGTGGAGCCGTGTTAACATGTCCCCATTAAACAGAAAGCTGATTTTTTCCACACTTCTACCCTTGCTGCTACTTTTGCTTTCCAGATTTTCTGTTTTACATCTAGCATTGCCTCTTCTTGACATAAAGGCATCAGAATAATCTGCAGAACTGCTTACATGGTGCTTGTACAAGAGGAGGTAAGGATAATGCAGATTTGTGGGAGAAGGCAACTTGTTTCTGCAAGTTTGCAGTGGGCAACACTACCCCCCTTTGGTTCCCCTTGTTGCTGCCCCATTCACAGCTGTGGAAAAAAAACATGTTCTTGCAGAACCTCTATCTATGCAAGGATTAGTTTATTTCAGTAGAGAAAGCATGTATACAGACTATGTTATTGCATATGCATAGATGGTTTCTGTTCTGTGTGTGGGAGGTGATGCAATTGCATGCTGATGATCTTTATTGCAAGCTATAACGAGTGGCATGGGAGGCCTTTTATGTCATGTGTATAAAAACATATTGACTACATCTCTGCAATACATGATTTACCACTTTGCTACCCACTGCAAATACAGAAAAATATCTGATGATCTGCTAGAAATCCATTGTGCTCCTAACTTCCTGTATGAGCTGCCAATACAAGGGGAAATCAATAAAAAATGTCTGAGACAAACTTTGTCAGCCAACCAGCTTTTAAATATCCATCTTCTAAGCTGTGTGAGGAAAAAAACAAAAAACTGATTGTTTGCGATGAGCAACTGCACCAGTTAAGATAGAACTTTTCTCAGACCTTTTTGTTAATAAAATACACAAGTGCAGTGTTACAAACATAACGTTTACTTCAGAATAAAACTGCGTGCACATGTTTTGCAATCCCAGCTCTCTGGAACGCAGGACATTGCAGTAACGCGTGTTCCAGTGCGAGAGATCGCACTGTGGGCGGGAGGCGCGTTTGGGGTGCCATTGAAATGAATGGCACCACAACGCACCTCCCACAGCAGAATTTGTCAGGCCAAAACCAAAAATGACTTTTCCCACCTTTTTTATATATTGTTTTAATAATTCTATGTATTATATTAGACATTTTATTTAGTTTCATGGATTTTAAATAATCTGAATTGTAAAACGCCAAGCCAATATAGTAAACAGGGGAGCAGCGAAGGCACGGGGGCAGCAGTGGAGGCATGGGGGCAGCAGCGGGGGAAATGCAGAGGCACAGCTGTCTCTACTTCCCGTGGGGTGCCGGCTGCAGCGATCTGCTCAACTAATCGTATCAACTAATCAATAATTATCGATTATCATCATTTAGTTGTTGCAGCCCTAACATTTCCATTCACAAACAACCTCAAACAAGACTGTTTGCTCCTCAAACCAGCTTTTTCAGCTAGCTTCAAGTGGCTGGGCAGGCCAAAACCTTGAAATGTACTGTCAAAAAACCTCAGCATGAAGCCCACATGACCCCCCTGCAGGCCCCAAGGTTGAAGGACACCTTTTAACCTGCATGAATTTCTAGGCTCAGCAAACTTTTGACGGGAGTTAATGCTTACAGGCTACTAAAGTTCCTGACACCTGCTCCTGAAAGGTGTTTTCGTTTTGAATCTTCCCCAAGCTCGTTGTGGACCTTTTCAGTCTGTTTTAGAGCCTGGTTTCCCTGGGGATGGTCACCTAGGTTTTTCACCAGTAGTGCTTCAGGGATTGTACTTCAGTCTTTTTTACTGCGCCCAAGAAGGGGAGCATTTGGTTGATTTAGGACCTCAAGTGCAGAAGATCCACACAGAATTAGTTTGGACTTTCTTCACCAGGAAAATCTTCTAGCTTCCATCAACATGCGTCATGCTTATCTTTATATCCCTAGTGCAGTGATGGGGAACCTATGGCACACATGCCACAGAGGGCATGCAGAGGCCCCTCAGGTGGCACGCAAGCCTGGTTGCCAGGGCCCGCAAACTCCAGGTTCTAACCTGGGGTGCTCTGCGTGTACTTCCGGTGTTCCATGGGTCTCCAAGTCACATTAAGTTTTTGCAGATGGCTGCCGCAAATAGCGGCAGCCATCTTTAAACCTGGCAGGTGTCCAGATCCTATTTCATATATTGCCGAACCGGCAATATATTAAATGAAAATCATCTCGTGGTGGTCCAGTGGAGGATCAGTATGAACTGCATCTCTTGCTGATGCAGACCATACTGGCCGCTCCCCCGTGGTGCTGCTGCTCACAGACAGGAGCAATTAGGATGGTCTGCATCAGCCAGAGCTGCAGATCGCACTCATCTTCCACTAGACCGCCAGGATAATCCCCAAGTGCCCCACTGGAGCCCAGTGATGCAGCCCCCTCCCTGCAAAACAGGTAAGCTGGAGAGGTGGCAGATTTTTTATTTATTAATTTTTATAGTTAATAGTTGTGTGTGTATCGGTTTTAATGAGTGTGTGTTTTTTAATGAGTGTCTGTGATGTGAGTTCTTTAATGAAGATATGTGTGTGTTTTTAATAAGTGTGTGATGTGTGTGTTTTTTAATGCGTTTGTTTTTTTCATCGAGTACATGATGTGTGTGTTTTAATGTGTATAAATATTTGAATATGTGTGTTTCCCTATTTTGCCTAATGCAGTGATGCTGAACGTTTTTTAAACCCTAGTGCCCAAACTGCAATGCAGTACCAAACTTATTTTCATTGTTGGCACTTTGAAATTAATAAATTGATTTTGCGTTGCAGTTTGGTCACTCGGGCTCAAAAACGTTAGCCATCACTGCCCCAGGGGGACCTTTGGTCAGTCATAGGGCTGAAACAACTAATCGATTAAATAGATTATAATTAATAATGAGAATCATTGGCAACGATTCTCATCATCGATTAGTTGATGTTCGATTAGTTGCCGGCGCTCTGGTTCCCTGTTCTCCTCCCCGCTGGTGCTGGCTGCAGCGGTCTGTGTCCCTCTTATGCTATCCAATCCTTAGTTATTCAACTGTAAGGCCCCATTCACACTGCGCGATTTGCAAATCGCACGTTTGTCACGCGATTTGCATTTTGCACGATATCGCGCGATTTGACGCGCGATATTGCGCAAATGCTTGCATTGCAAAGAATGGAATCGCGGCAAAATCCGCTCCAAAAAGGGCCCTGCTGTAGCGACGCACGACCCACGACAGCAGGACCCTTTGCCCCATTGCCTTGCATTGGAGAGCGATATCGCGCAGTAAATTGCCGCGATATCGTGGGAATTACCGCGCGATAAATCGCTCAATGTGAACGGGGCCTAAAAGAGGTACTCGCATTACTCCCCATGTGAGACCTCTTGAACAATGTTAAAAAATGGCATTTAAGGCTTACCTGCACCAGGCTGACCTCATGAGCACAGTAGGTATTTTAATGAGACCCATTCACCACTGGTCTTATGGATAAGTCTGTACAGATTTTAGAACTGATGTTACTTCTGAAAAAAATGTTATGTCTGAACCTGGCATTTCAATTTGAGTGTCAGTTCACCTAAATTCTCAGTTGCTGCCCTGTCAACTGACTGACCTCAGGTAGATGGAACATATCAAATAACACAGGTCCTCATTAAAGATACATTTTTCAGGGTTCTGTTACTTGACACCGCTATGCATTCTTAGGCACAAAGAAATAACGTGGGAGGTCAGACAGTTGAAACAGGAGCAGATTTCAGGTGACCTCTGACACTTAGCACTCAGGCTGAAGTGCCAGGCTCAGACAAAAGTAAATAAGTAGAGTTTTATTGGTAAGACTGTACAGTATGTTATTCAGATTACTGAATCAAACCAATCTCTTTAAATATTCATGGTCCTTATTTTTCTTAGTTAAAAGCAGTGTTGTCTGACACTCTAGTCACATAATAGTAATGGGGTAGGCATGTAAATGAGCAAACTTGAATACATACGCACGGCCCTGGGACTAACGTAGATCCTGAAAGTCTACTTTCAAAAGTGCAAAATAGCAACAATTTGTCCAAGTCACAGTTTACCTTTAATGCTGAGATTTTTCATTTGTGCTGTACAGAGCAACAATGAGCACGCAGTAATCTAAAAACCAGTAATAAACATTTATTGCTTCCTCTATACTAATGATGGCTGAAATCTGGTTATTGTGGGATGCACATTCGATGTTCCCTGTTCCTCCTACCAACTCCCACCTCAGCATGCAACATTCTTCATGTTGCAAACTTTGTTAGAGCAATAATCACTTTAGCTTGAAGTGTTTAGCTGTATGTTTCTCAGTTGTTACCCTAATCTTTTACAGAGGTCTCCAAAGAAACAAGATGCCCAACAGCGAACAGTCATTAAGCAAATCTCGCAGCTCAGGGGTTCAGTCCCCTGGGGCTCAGTGGAAGAAATCCCCACGCATGCCCAAATGTTCCCGCTGCAGGAACCACGGGTATTCCTCATTGTTAAAGGGGCACAAGCGTTTCTGTATGTGGAGGGAATGTCAATGTAAGAAGTGCAGCCTTATTGCAGAAAGGCAGCGTGTCATGGCAGCCCAGGTAAGAATAGTGGTATATCTGTATACATACGGTCATGTTCATTTGTATATATTTTCAACAATTCTTTAAAATATTCAGTTTGATTCAAAATTGATATAACATGTATAATTGCTATTCAAGCAATTTTACAATATTATATTATGAAGAACAACTTGTCCATGACAATCCTCAGCATTTCAAATTTTAGTAATTACCAGAAAATTACAGATCTCTTCCTTGCAGCCACTGCAGTAATGTTCAGTTCATTCTCTAATCAGCTCAGAAGTCTGCATGGAACTTTCAAGGGTATAAAAACCCAAATTAAAAAATGTAATATATTACAGCTTACCAGTCCTTAGATATGGTGGCTGCAACAAACGTATCAGCTGACAAGATTTTTGGCAGACTCAATAGGTATTTTTGCACTCATCAAACAGATATAACATAACACTTTTAATGGTATATTTAACAGACCAAAAGGGACTGACCTACAATTGATGGAGCGTACATACCCTTTAAGTCAGCCTACTGCTAGCCTAAATTGTATCTACTTTACCCTTCGTTCCTTTGCTAGTCATCTCATTATATTTTTAGTAGTAAATTTAATAATAAACATGTTTATAGTTCATCTGCAACTCCACATGTATGTATTTTCAGTATAAATGGTTTTCACGAACCTTTTTTTTTAATGTGCTTGATTGGTTTGTACAATGTAGCTGTTGAATATTTGTGTTTTATCTTATCTATGTATTTTTGTTTGAATTTGTTATATACATGTCTATTCACAAAAGGGTGAAGAGTTTGGAGAAGACAGGAGAAGTAAACAATCTAGGAGAAATAGCTGATTTGGAAAAATTCTCCAATTCAGCTCACTTTCCGGTTCAGATATGCTGTCCTAGATTGTTCACTTCTCCAAACTCTTCACCCTTTTGTGAATAGACCCCCTATACGGTCTTGCACCTTTAATATTATCAAATAAGAGAAATGTGTGCACAGACCCAGGTTTAATACCGTGGGCTGAAAGCAGGAAATGCTGTGTTTATTTTGCTATAGGAATTAATTTATATATTTATATTTTGTAAATTATATATGACGATTTGTATGCCAATTATTGTAATAAAGGGGATGTGTTTTGTTTTTACCAAATCAAGAGCTGATGTTGTTCCCTTTGCTGAGTTTTCTCCTTTCTTCATTTATATATGATTTTTAAATGCTTGGAAATAATTGAAAACTTATTGTGTGGACAGGTAGGGTATATAATCGATATCTATCTATCTATCTATCTATCTATCTATCTATCTATCTATCTATCTATCTATCTATCTAGCTCATGCAGCACTGTAGAGTTGATTCTTTGTGCTTTCATAAATATTAGCTGTTTATTTGTATACATATACATTATTTTTTTTCTGTTTTGTAGAAAATCAGTGAAAGATTTGTAGTTCCAAATATTCTGACCCCCAAAAATGTAGAAGAAAACAGTAGCGATTAGCAGACAGTGGAATTGCTTATCTCATATTTTTTTTTATCATTTCTAGGTTGCTTTACGCAGGCAGCAAGCCCAGGAAGAGGAACTAGGATTAACTCACCCTATTTCACTACCCAGTTCCACTGAACTGCATGTCAAAAGGGAGCAGAGCAGAAATGCTTGCCTTTTGCTGGAAAATAATTGCATCCAGACAACTAGTTCCACTGCTGGTGTGACCCCCAGCTTCTCAGGTAACAGACATGTTAAATCACTAATTAGTTGAACCAAGGAACATGTACTGGGTAGGTTAAACTAGGAAACACTCACTTCAAAGATCCATATTAAAAAAAATGCTGGAACTTAAGTTGGCCATATACTGTGTGAATTTCGTCTGGTTCATCAAAAACCGACCGCACATTGGGTGCCCATGATGGCATCCTTTCATTAGAAAATCGAAGGAGACTGTCAGAAAATTTTCAGGTGAACAGTGATGGCAACCAGTCGGCTATTTCAGTTGGGTAGTTCAGGTATCCTGACAGGAGTCAAAATACAAAGGACAGAGCAGGAGATTTGTTTAAGGGTGCTATATGCATTCAGTGCTTGGCAAACAATCTCTGAGCCTTATTTTTACCTTTAATTTCATGTTTCAACCATATTCAGAGTGTAGCATAAAACATGGTCACATTGCCAGCCCTACCCACCCACATCCCATCCCCTCAACTTACCTGAACCGCAGAATCCTGACAGTTTTTAAATCTGATGTGCCAGCTGTGTTATCCTTTGACAGGGTCTGTGAATAGAGAAATTACAAGTTCCATCTGCCACTGCGGCAGATAGACTTGTGGTTCTCAATGTAATACAAGTACGGTGTCGTCACTACACTTGTAGTCTTCACATTTCTTCCTCTCCCTGTAACTAAAAGCCCGTACCTTGATATGGACAGGGACTGGAGAAATAGTTTGCAGCAGCCCAAAGCATTGCATCCACAATCCACTGATCATGCTTGCAATGCTTCACTGGCACCAATGCCCCCCAAAAAATAGTACATGCACATTTTTCCTTTTATGAATATGTGTGCATTTATTTGTGTTTATAGGTGGGCTTTAAATAGGTGGACTTGAAAATTCCCACCTTACATGAATCAATAATGCACATTAGCATCATCAAATCACCTTATCGCTTTGATAAACTGTACTTTTTTGATTGCTGCTACCCAAAAAAACAATACAAAACACAGAAGTTTCCCAGCACACGTACCAGCTAGCCTGCAACACAATAAACTTCCCTGTCTAACAGTATGTATTAAAAATAGAGCTTTTAGTTGCACAACTTCTGCAAAATATATTTTGAGAGTCTCCATATTGGAGCATATTTAAGCAGTAAAAAAATTGAAAGCAGGTATGCCTGTAGTGTGTCCCTGTGCCTTTAAGGAGGAGTGGGTTCCCTCCAGCCATACCTGCATTCAATGTATCTAGTTCTTAAACATGCTCCAATATGGAAACTTACAAACATTAGAGTTAGGACCACACTACACAGGGGTGCCTTGACGAGACAGTGCGACTTCCACATATTTTGCAAACGTTGTGCAACTAAAAGCTCTGTTTTTAACACATACTGTTAGACAGGGCAGTTTGTTTTGTTGCAGGCTAGCTGGTAAGTGTGCTGGGAACCTTCTGTGTTTTGTATTGCTGTAAGCCTTTTCATGTGCACCTCACTACAAAGACTAGTTATAAATTGGTGGGTTGCCATGTATTTTTACCCCAAAAAATAGCCAATGTCGTTACAACAAAAAGCCTGTAGTTTTCAAGTTGCAGTGAGATGAGTGGGCCAAAAAGACTGCCCTCATGTACATAGATAAGAACTAACTATACAGAGAAACAAGGTTTTTGAATATATGAGCACATGTATATAAAAAATACATGTAGAAGACTAAAGTTCCCTTTCACAGAGTTTCCCTTGAAACTTACTAAATGCGCATCCCTTTTTAGCCTGATGGCCCGACTATGAACAATAAAGTATTTACAAATTTGTAACGTGCAATATGTGAGCCTTAAAACAAGCACCGTCTAACCTCTGTAGCTGCAGACTCTCTGGAGCAATTCATCCTTAAATTCCACAACAGAAGCACTGAAGTCCTATAGGTTGCTAACCTAGCTGGTGTCTATTTTTTAATTTGACCATTTCACCCTTAAAGTGCATTTCCACATTTGCAGCCAAATTGGGATAAGAACTACTTTTTACGTTACATGTTCACATTGATGTAGCATAAGTTTTAAAAAAATCGTTACTTGCTGTTTTTCTGAAAACTCCAAAGCTAAATTTTTTGCATTTTCGGTCATTTCAAGGAGGAAGCTTGAGCTGGGTGGGGAGGTGATGTTTATCAAAGTTAACCCTGTCTGTACTATGCTGGCAGTTTTCATTATCAGTTGTGAACTAGGTTTGAACACTGCCTGTTCTAACAAAGGGTTAAAGAACTTAAAGCATTTGTTAATGACAGGCATTGCTGTCTGCCCCCCTTTGTATTGGGGACAGATTCACTCGCAAACTGTTCAGAATAGCTTGCAGCTAAGAAACAGGTGAGAAATATATTTTTTTTACATTTTGTTTATGTAACGAGCCCCTGCTCGCTCGGTTCCACTCTCCCGGCACTCCTCTGCTACTATTGGATCAGATGTCAGACCGCAACGTCTGATCCTTCGATCGTCAGATAATCCGGGATTGGAACTACAGCTATGTGCCGTTCCAATCCAGCTCAGAACAAACACCAGGCAGGCTGTATGTAAGTTCCAACAGGGATCTGCTTTATTGAAGACTAGCTCAGTATATATACAGTCCAAGAAGTCTAAACACATAACGCAATCAAACATGAACAGCATGCAAACATCCACTCCCCCTCCCCGATGCCTTAATGAATGAATAGGGAGGGAGGAGACACATGTGATGGGATTATCTCCTGAGTGTATCATAGTGTGATTTACTCATCTACACCTGGAGTCAGCTACTCCTAGAATCAGCTATCTAATCCCATCATCAACACAATACAACAAAAGGACCAATAAACTGTAACAGTTCAATGTCCAGAATTATCCCCCTTCAGTGCTCCTGGAGTCACAGCCTGTACCTATAATACACACAGGGCCATCCAAATGTAATGCCAGGGAACATGTACAGTACATCCCCCCACACATAAACCTGGTAGAATGGTTCATTGTAACCCCAAGAAGTCCGAGGGGGGTCTCCATAGTTCTGGGTCCATAGTCAGTTGGAAGGAGGCTAGCCCCCAGGCTCCTCCAACAGCACCAGTGACGGTTCAGTCCGTCACAGTTTAGCTATACTGTATGAATGGGAATACAAACACATAGTGGGGCTTTCTCAAATATGACTGCAAACGTGCAAATACACAATACTAGCTTTAAAGGGTGAGTGCACTTGCTCCCCAAATGTGAGAAAATGAACTTACCCAGAGCATTCAGCCACCACTTTGCGCCCATGCTATTCATACCCCCCATCCACATCCCCATCCCTGCACCACTAGCTGGTGTATGCTCCATACACGACATTGTAGCTCCGCACTGAGCATCCAGCATAACACTCGCAAATGGTGAGCACTCATTGAGGGCTTGTCCACACGACGTCCGGATTCTGTCCGGACCAGAACAGTTCGCTCCTGCACTAAAAATGTATCCCTATGTGTTTTATGGGCTCTAGTTCTCACCAGCGCAGTCCTTTCTGTTCCGGACAGAAAAAATACTGCATGTCACATTTTCTCCGGTCCGGAAACGCACGAACGCGTCAAAAAACGCGCCGAAAACCCACCGCACTGCAGTTGACAGCTGACAGCCCCACTCAACAAAAAAAGGAACTGGAACGTGTCCGGAACGCATCAAAAACACGCTGCATGCGTAGCACCGCGTCTGCAGATCTGGACCAGAAAATGGTGTGAACAAGCCCTCAGAAGTGCTTCTTACTTCCAGGACCTGGTCCTAATCTCAGAAGTGCTTTTCATTGGTCAGTGTGGTCACGTGACTGCAGTGAACAATGAGAAGCGCTTCTGATGAATGTGTTTATTGCGCCTTAAATAAAGACGTATTCTCCGGACAAGATCCTGTGGAGTGCGGCATGTTTTGAATTTTGACTGTTTGAGGTGGAAACATACTAGTTACCTGCACCTGGGATGTGTGTGCAGTCAGAAGCCAGGATTGGAATGTGAGCAGGGTTTAGCTGTGTTTGTGCTGAACAATGAGCGCTCGACATTTGCTAGTGTTATGGTGGATCCTTAGTGTGGTGAATGGTGTACAGACCGTATACCAGCTAACAGCAGGGGGATACTGCATGCAGCTAAAAGGTATAAATAGTGGGGACGGGCAGAGGTGGCAGAATGTTCAGGGTAAATTCATTTTCTTACCCTTTGTAAGAAAGTGAACTTACCCTTTAAATCTATAAAGGGAGGGGACATGGAAACTGTCCTTACCTTGCGAAAAAAAATAAAAAGGAAATGTCAATATTTATTATGCTGTATTTGTTGCAAATAAAGGGCTTCCTTATAAAGTGCACCTGGAAGGTGGGAGTGAAGGTAGAGACAGATCCTCTGTTTTCACCATTTCGGTGCCTGTGGTAATTAATTTGTATTTTCTGGTTACAGACATAGGAAGGTTCTGCTACCACCTACTAACCTTGGAATGCTGCTCCCTGCCTAATATGCATCAAGAGACAATTCAAATAACTTACTGCATGGCATGCTAGAGATGCCATTATATGTACAATGTATGTATGTAGACATTTTGATTTCTGCAGACACCGTCGGGATACCTGATTTAAGCTGGCCATACACCTATATATTATCTGCAGATTTTCTATGGTCAGATGGAGAAAGTGCAACAGATTCCTCCATCTACACTTAACTGTGTGGAGATTCCTCCATCCAAACAGTTTAGCGTAAATGGAGGAATCTTTTGCACTTTTCCCATCTGAACTTAGAAAATCTGCAGATAATCTATAGGTGTATGGCCAGCTTTAGAAGGATGAATGGATCACCAGAAAATAGGTTTATCCCACCTGTTTACTATTGCTCCCCCAAGATACGGCTGGTGTCAGCAGGGATGCGTTAATCGTATCGCCCGGACTGGTGATTTTTTTTCTACAGTTAGCCCTGCTACAGGCAAGCAGGGCTAAATGTAGAGAAGGGGAGCCACCGCTCGTTTTGTACATGTGTTTGTGAAAATAAATGTGCACCAGCTTGCTGAGGAGATTA